AATGTATATGGTAAAACAACGTTTGCCGAGTGAGCTAGTATATATATATATATATATATATATATATATATATATATATATATATATATATATATATATATATATTTCTCAAACATGCTTGGAAATGTGAACATTATTTTGACAATCTTCTTAGAGATAAATCAAAATTGCCGTACTGGCCAGATACATGCGGGCAGCGGCCGGCAAAAGTTGTATGAAAATCCATATCTGTCGTGTTTTGCGGCCAGATAAATTACTATGTAAACTCATATCTGTCTTGTAATTTAAAAATAGAATGATACTTCGAAACATGGCTACCAAGGAGGTAACTAATAAAAGGTTTTATTTAAATTTCAAACTGGCTTGCAAATAGAAAGCTGTTTATTGAAAAAAAAAACAAAGGAATATTATGGCGCGCGAAAAATTATTATTGTTCGTTATTCGTCATTGAACTTAAAAAGTAAAATTGTGTTTTTGATTTCCGCGCATAGTTTGAGAAAAGTACTATACAAGCCTTGGCCACAACTAGGCATTGATGGACTCACGTATGTGTGCCTCGGCTATGCCTCGACCCACATTTGCACGTCCGTCCATCAATGTCTCAGTTGCTGGCCGCTGCAGTAATGTACTATAAACAAATAAATACTAGGTATATAACGAGTAATACCGTAAATGGACAATTAATATATTATCTTGCAACACATTCTATATTCACGGACATACAGTTAATGGGTGTACAAGAATCATAAGTTACAGTTGCAACTGAACAGTGGAATATGAACATTACTGTCTTAGAACTAAAGTCGAATGTGCAATAAAAATAAATCATTAAGTTTTGCGCCTTTGCAATCCATATGTAAGTACTAGATTATTTTGCATAAATAAATGATTGGATACGGTCTAATTTTCATGGTGCACCTCGACTCGTATTTTTTTTTTAATAAAAGTTTTTTTTTTATACAACTTAGAACGGCAAACAAGCTGACGGCCCACCTGATGGAAAGTGGTAACCGTCGACTATAGACATGAGCAGTACCATGGACGTAACAGTGTATACTGTTTCGCCCATGATACCCCCCATACGTTGCCATTCCTGAGGACTCAGGTGTTATTCCTCTGTACCCAGTAAATTCACGCAGATAATGGAATGGTCTTTTTTTATGGACGATAATGGAATTATTCGCGGCATAGAATGGGCCACATCATTCTTTTCCCGTGGGTGTCGTAAGAGGCGATTTAAAGGTGGAGAGATGGGCAGGAGCGTCCCTCTTAAAACATACTCTAAAAACCTAACCGCTGTTGCCAATCCGTCTGCCGAGCGTGGCAACTACTGGCAAAATTCCAATTATGGGGAAGGCTTATGTCCAGCAGTGGACAGTTAACGGCGGAAATGATGCTAATTCCAACACACTAGCGACCCGCCCCGGCTTCGCACGGGTGCAATGCCGCACCGCTATGTCCCTGCATTTTAAATCTGTAATATCTTCGGAAATAATCGTTTAAATTACATGCTGTAAAGGGCCATATTGATCTATATTAAATGGACAATGTATTTAAGGTACTTAATTGGATTAAAAATTAATGCTGTATTGCTTAAAATCACTTCGCAAATAAGCCATTTTTTCCCGTAAAATGTAAAGGATAAAAAATGGTTATTGTGGGTTATCCTTAATAGATAGACATATACCATCGCGGACTTTTTTGTTGACCTTTTTAAGGTTTACAGTACTGTAGTACATTATTTTGATTTATCTCGTAAGGTTCAGCCAGCGTTTGCAATGTAAGCGCAGAAAATGTGTTTATTTACGACATCACGTTACAAATCTTTAAATTTATCAATGTTTCTCTACAATATTATGCATGTGTTATACATATAAACCTTCCTCTTGAATCACTCTATCTATTAAAAAAAACCGCTACAAAATCCGTTACGTAGTTTTAAAGATTAAAGCATACATAGGGATGGACAGACAGCGACAGCGACTTTGTTTCATACTATGTAATGATAGCGATGAAGTGACAAGCAACCACACATATAGATACACACGTAAAAACAAAAGAAAAATACCTAAAACAAGTAACATAATTTTTCATTTCGTGAGTGTGCCACAAAATGGTAACACAAAATGGTCACAACACAGTTTATTGCTTTGCCCTCAAAAGAGTAAAACACTGATATACTCGTACTGTTGGAGCCATTAGCACGCTGCGAAATTTCTTCGCAGAAAAATATATATATATAAATGAATATAATTAATTTTGTGTATCCATTACGGTCATTATTATTTAAAATTGTAATCTAATTTAGTAATTAAGAAATACTATTAGAAAAGGGGTTACTGTATTTTTTATTTTATTGCATGATAATGGTATGGTAACCCCGCCTGCGCTAACGGGATACGCTGGCGGAGCACCAGTGAAGGGTGATAGATGAGAATGAAAACAGGCCAGTTAGCCCATCATGATGAATTCATCAGGAATTAACCATGACAGTTTCCAGGGGGAACGAATGGAAACTATCATGAATCAGAGGAAAGAATAAATCTAAAAAAAAAAGCTCTATCGTTTGCTTTTAGAACTTGAAAAACCACCTTTCGAAAATCGTTAAATAAATTAACATATACCTATTAAACAGTCAAAATTATAAAAAAAAAACTATTAGGTACTCAATCGTTTGAAGTCTTATAGATCTTTAGAATAAATAAATACGAAGTGACATCACCTAAAACGATTTGCCTTAAATTAATAAGCAATGTTTTGATGGAAACATCGAAAATGGATGCTGTGAATCAGCATTGTCAGTTTGAGACAATTGTTTTTTTTTTATGTAGCATGGCAAACAAGCTGAAAGCTCTACTGATAGAGCTTTTTTTTTTGATAGATTAAAATGGTATGGTAACCCCGCCTGCGCTAACGGGATACGCTTGCGGAACACCAGTGAAGGGTGATAGATGAGAATGAAAACAGGCCAGTTAGCCCATCATGATGAATTCATCAGGAATTAACCATGATAGTTTCCAGGGAGAACCATGAGGAGGTCAACCTGGTTAGGTATATTGCTAGCAATGGGATTCTCAGTCTCCATTACTAACAATCCCTATTCCCCCCACTGATAGAGAGTGGTAACTGTCACCTATAGACACGAAAAGGAATATAGATGTTACATAATACACTATGATACCCACAGTACCCTTTATGCGGGGGGAAAGGGATTGTTAGCAATGGAGTTTGACAGCCCCATTGCTAGCAATATGCCCTATCAGGTCGACCTCCACGTGGTTCCCCCTGAAAACCATCGAGAACAATTCTTGTTGAATTCGTCACGATGGGCTAACTGACCTGCTTCATCCTCACCTATCATCCATCACTGGTGCCCCGCCAGTGTATACCAATAGCGCGGGTGGGGCTACCATTCCATTATCATGCATTAAAAAAAAAGTACCCTTTATGCGTTAGCATTCCTGAGGATTACTGTAATTGGTAACATAAAAAAAAAAATATTAAAAATTTAATTAACCCACAGCTCTATTATATTATACATAAATTGCACGATAAAGTCTCACTAGCCAAGTAGTAATTAGTAAACAATATTGTGTAAAATGGCTGACACAATATGTCAAATTTCTAAACGAAATGTAACCTTGAACCAAAGATAAGTCGTTATCTAGACCTTGAACTGTCTAGGTATTTTTTTCTATGATATGAATTAGGGTTTTTTTTTTTTAAGAATGGAATAGTAACACCGCTGCGCTATCGGTGTACGCTAACGGGGCTCCAATGAAGTGTAATAACGAGGATAAAGTCAGGAAATGAACTTTTAACTTTGTTTTTAAAGATATGTTTTTTTTTAAAGGAACGGTAATGGAACGGTAACACTGCCTGCGCTAACGGTATACACTGGGGGAGAAGGGATTGTTAGTATGAGAATTAGTAGCTCCATTGCTAGCAATATACTATATCAGGTCAACCTTCTCGTGGTTCCCCCTCGAAACCATCGTAACTGATTTATTGTTAGATTCGTCACGATGGGCTAACTGACTTGCTCCATCCTCACCAATAATCCCTCACTGGTGCCTCGCCAGTGTATATCGAAAGCGCAGGCGGGGTTGCCATTCCATTATTATCCATTAAACAAAAAGGGTATACGGTGGCGGGGCACAAATGAGGGATAATAGGTGAAAATGAAAAGGCAGGTCAGTAAGCCTATCATGACGAATACACTTGAAATTCAGCATGATGGTTTCCAGAGGGTACCACGTGGAGTTTTGCCTGACAGAGGGTATATTACTAGCAATGGGGCTGGAAGTTCGTATTACTAACAATCCCTCCCTCCACAATATAGATATGTATTGGAATAAAACTGCATAAATTGGAGAGGGGTAGAGTTGTTAAAAATATGGGCAATAGAGGCCTTTGTAAAGGGCTCTATTGCCCATATTTTTATCAATATACCAGGTCAATATGTCAGATCGATCTCCACGTGGTTCCGATGAAAACAAACATGATCGTTTCCTGCTGAATTCATCACGATGGTGCTAAAGATTCCACTTCTTCCTCGTCTAAGTATTATCATATTGATATAGATGCTATCGTTTCATATTCCTGATTTTTTTGCAAATTTTGTGTTAAACACACAAAATGAATATATTATATATTTTATTAGGATTGAAATAGCGATTTTAATTCAACCATAGATAAATTTACTTTTTCTATCACTTCCCTAAATATTAATATACACAATAGGTTAGCTATAAAAATATAATAACGGACAAGTAAACTTTTAGCTTTATACTTTGTTTATAAGCAATATAATTTAAATAGATTTATATTATAGTAATATATTTGAATTCACAACAGAAAATATATATTTGTCGTGATAAGTGTACATAGCTGGCATAAACAATCAAAGAAACGCTCGTCGATCCCACATTCCCAATATAAAACTGAGCGCATGCAACGTTTTAAAAATAAAATTTAAAAAATAAACAATTAAATTTTACCGCCATCCTGTCTGTATTTCACGGTGAGTTCCAGAAAGTCCCAATGTTTGTCGGAGTAGAATTAAAACTTGCGCAACACTGTTTATAAAATTATCACACAATAACTGTAAACTTCACACAAAACGTTTTAAATTGAATTAACAATAATAATAAAAAAGATTCTCAATTCATTGTTACAGTCATTAAAACTATAATTAAATAGATATAACGTAGGATACAGTTTCCGGTTAAATATTCGAATGCAGAGATTCGAATTTCAAATGTTCGAATTTAGTATTACAAAGACGCGCGTTGACCGATCGCGGGAGGCGTGAAATGGAAGCAGTGTTTGGTTAAATGACGTCACAATAACCGGTTCAGTATAGCTGTTCGTTGTCTGTCCATTTTACTCAGCACGACAGCGCTGTGAAAACAGCGCTTAATTATCGAATAAACTAATTAACTAGTAGCAAAACTTGAGGATAGGAGATTGCTGGAGATTACTACGGCCCCTTTACTAGCAATATACCCTATCAAATCGTCCCCACGCGGTTCGTCTTGGAAATTGGCGTCTAGGAACATCAAGGTACAGAGGGGACGCTGGAGGTTTACGGAGAATGTATTAAAGAGCATTACTGAAGAATCGCATTAAATTTACGTTAGTACTTTTGAGGGAATAGTGGACTGTATCTGTGACGGACTTTTTTTTTTTTGATGGAGTAAAAATGGTATGGTAATGGTAGCTCCGCCTGCGCTAACGGGATACGCTGGCGGAGCACCAGTGAAGGGTGATAGATGAGAATGAAAACAGGTCAGTTAGTCTATCATGATGAATTCATCAGGAATTCATTCATGATAGTTTCCAGAGGGAACCGCGAGGATGTCGCCCTGGTTGGGTATATTGCTAGCAATAGGATTCTCAGTCTCTATTACTAACAATTTATTTCCCCCCTCAGTGACGGACTAAGCCTATCAGGTACAAAGCGGCAAACCGAATGAGGTCTCCAGTTTAAAAAGTTGATGTGATTTTAGTTACCATTGTTGTATTAAAAATATCTGTTTTTATTTTTTTTTTTTTCTAATGAAATTCATGAATTTTAGAAATGGAGGTTTTTATTGCAAGAATAGTCGCAGAACAAGTTAGTAATGGGGAGATTAATAGTTAGGGGAGGTAGATGGGCCAATGGACCTGTCTTTTCATCCTCACCAATCATCCTTCACTGATGCCCCGCCAGTGTATACTGATATCGCAGGCGGGGTCACCGTTAAATTATTTACATCTATTAAAAAAAATTACACCATTATCATCCATTAAAAAAAATATCTATTACTCTCAAGACCTCTCATATCAATCTCTTAAAAATGGAGTAACTTTTCCCGTTTAACCCAACATTTCCCTTCACTGCTCTGCTCCTATTGATCGTAGCGTGATGAAAAGTATACTATAACCTGTCCAGGAGTATGAAGAATAATTGTACCAAGTTTCGTTAAAATCCGTCGAGTAGTTTTTGTTTCTATAACGAACATACAGACAGACAGACAAAAATTTTACTGATTACATTTTTGACATCAGTATCGATCACTAATCACACTCTGATAGTTATTTTGGAAATATATTTCATGTACAGAATTGACCTCTCTATAGATTTATTATAAATATAGAAGATTAAAATAATGAAGCGATTCAATCGCTTTATTGCCAACACTACGGAGGTGTGGTGTGTGGGGCTCGCCATTACGTCAACAACCGACGTGCGTACCAATACCAAAATAACTTGACACGTCACCTCTGTTGCGCTTTATAATTTTCAATACGAAGTAAACAAGCTTGTATAAAGATCTAGAGGTCATTTTTCACTGGACGACGCGTGTGGTTTACTTTTAAATTCCATAGTATGGCCTTTCTAGTAAACGGGACTCTTTTTAGAACACAAACATTTAACAGAGACAATAAAAAAAGAAAAAAATATCTATGTAGGTAGTATTTTTGGCGGGAATTTATGAGGATAATATTAGGCACGGGCGGACTGTATTTGTGTAAATGTGATGTTCTCTTAGAAGGTTCTTTAAGTGACTTATTTAATAAAAAAATCTTGGAAAGTCTTTTAGTCATAATGTGTTATCATTTAAAAAAATAAATAACGATAATTATTTGAAGGAAATAATAAAGTTTTTATTTCATGTTATTTCAACAATAAGCCAATCTTGTTTTTTTACATCACGGGGGACAAACGGGCATACGGCTCACTTGATGGTAAGTGGCTGCCGCTGTCCATTATCTCCCGCAACACCACGGCCATTGCAGATGTGGTGCCAGCGTATTAAAAAGAATTATGCTCTTTTCTTGAAGGTTATGTTGTCGTATCGGGTCGGAAAGACTGCTGCTGGGAGTTGATGCCTAAGCATAGTTGTGCGTAAAAGAAAGTGCCTTGAAAAATGCACGGTGGAGGACTGCCATTCATCCAGATGGTTGGTATGGAACTTTAGTTTGTGGCGAGTTGTACAACAATGCTGTGGTCCCAGTATAGAATGGGCCACCCCTTCCTTTCCTTTTAAGCAGAACTATCACTGAGCTGTAGCCTGTTTGAGTCACTGCGACACACTTGGTGAAAACATATTTCCATACTTTATCTTTTGTTTTATATTAAAAAAAAGTGTAAATAATCTGATTGTATAAACTCATTTGTTAATTTACGTGCGTCATAAATGGCTCAAATAAAGTGTTTATCTATCTATCTATCTAAGGATGGACATCAGCGTCCTTTTTAAAACATCACCAAAAGCCTAACTACCAAAATTGTTGCCAAACCGCCTGCCAAGCGTGGCAACTACTGGCAAAACCCCTTAAAAGGGCAAGATCTATGTTCAGCAGTGAACAGATGATGGCTGACATGACGATGATGGTGATGACCCAATTAATATTTCAATTTGACAATGTGGAATCAATAAATATAATAAAATCGTAACTGGTCGCTGTCTGTACATAGAAGATATATAAGAAAAACTATTATAGGGGGGCTTTATGGACGCAAAAGAACCCAAAACGACGATTTTTTAAATTTTTGCCTTCCTGTCTGTTTGTTTGTACGTTTGTGCGCGCTAATCTCAGTAACGGTTTAACAGTTTTCAATGCGGTCCTCACCATTGCGTCGCAGTTTGCTCCACTTAAGGGGGGAGTAAGAGTGTATTTTTTAACTGTTTCTACCAGAGGAGGAAGGGATTGTTAGTAATGCGGACTACCAGTCCCATTGCTAGCAATATGCCCTAACAGGTCGACCTCCACGTGGTTCCCCCTGGAAACCGTCGTGTTAAATTCTAATTGTATTTATCACGATGGGCTAACTGACCTGCCTTTTCAGGGGGAAAGGGATTGTTAGTAATGGGGTCTAACTGACCCACTGCTACTAATACACCTTATCAGGTCGATCTCCACGCGGTTCTCCCTGGTTAATTTTAGTTAAATTCGTCACGATGGGCTAACTGACCTGCTTTCATCGTCACCTATCATCCCTTCACTGGAACTCCGCCAGCGTATACCGTAAGCGCAGGTGGGGTTACCATTCCATTATCACCTATTAAAAAAAGACCTGTTTCTTTTTATTCTCACCTATTAAATCTCACTGGTTCCCTGCCGATGTATACCGTTACAGCAGGCGAAAAGAACATTCCATTGACATCTTTAAAAAAAACTGTTCCTACCTTTGGGACCGGTAAGGATACCAGAGGGCCTACCATGAAATATTTTCCGAAATTTCGGGCACGAACGAAACAGAAATTTGATGCTAAAATTACATAATACATGCCGTTCAAAATTATTAAAAATGTTAAAATATCATTCATCTGGACTATTAGGATAGGATTTATGATGAACGAAATGTTAAGCTCCATTTACTAGATCGATTTTGGTACGAACAAAAACACGAAATTGAGCGCGAAAATTCGAAATTTCGTTTCATGGTAGATCACCAGATCCCGGTCACGCGGCCGAAGTCACCTGTAAAAGCCAGTTAGCTATATTGGTAAGGATTAATTAAAATTGAACCGTAAGCCGGCAATATGGGCGTGGGTTATTAAAGTTATTGCTTCCGTCCGTCGCGCTGTTATTATTATGCATAGCTCACCCAAATTCATCCTACACGCGTACCGCTAAGAATTTTAAGTCCTTGGCTTTCTTAAAAAAAAAAAGGTTTAGTCTATGCATTCAATTATATTTATTGGTTATTTTTTATCTATATTTTTTATATATTATAAATAAAAATATAATCATCGTCATCGTATCAGCCTTTAACTGACCACTGCTGAACATAAGCGTCCACCTTGTGGGGTTTTGCCAGTAGTTGCCACCCTTGGCAGGCGGGTTGGCAACAGCAATTAGGATTCCGAGATCTTTTAAGAGGGACGCTGCTGTCTATTCCTCATCCTCTTTAGTCGCTTCTTACGACACCCGACGGAGACTTTGTACAAAAGTCGATTGCCTGGGTACCTCTGTCCCATTCGTGTTTCAACCGTAAAGCAGTTGTGTTTGCATAGTTGTGTTTCGGTTTGAAGGGTGGGATATGGCGTGAATTTACTGTGTACAGAGGAATAACACCTGAGTCCTCAGGAATGGCAACGCATGGGGGGTATCATGGGTGAAACAGTATACTCTGTTATGTACATGATATTGCTCATGTCTATAGGCGACGCTTACCACTTTCCATCAGGTGGGCCGTCAGCTTGTTTGCCATTCTAAGTTGTATAAAAAAAAACCCACAGGAAAGGAAGATGTGGTCCATTCTACGCCGGGACCGCACGGAACCATCCCCAGTAATGTTTTTATTCATGTTACCCAAGGTTTTGGCTTTTGATTTGACTGGCCGTCTTCCCGACGTCAGCTTTCCTTAATACTGCATTTGTTGGTGATATCCGCCACCTGCAGTGTGGGGGAAAGGATTAAGGAAAAAGGAAGAGGTACGTTGGGAGTTAGTAAAGGAAGAAAACAAAGTCTCCCTCACCAGAGGGAGCCTTTGTACAAAAGTCGATTGCTTGGATACCTCTGTAACATTCGTGTTTCAACCGTGAAGCAGTTGTGTTTGCATGGCTGTGTTTCGGTTTGAAGGGTGGGTTATGGCGTGAATTTACTGGGTACAGAGGAATAACACCCGAGTCCTCAGGAATGGCAACGCATGGGGAGTATCATGGGCGAAACAGTATACTCTGTTATGTCCATGGTACTGCTCATGTCTATAGGCGACGGTTACCACTTTACATCAGGTGGGCCGTCAGCTTGCCATTCAAAGTTGTATAAAAAAAGTTTTTTTAATGAGTTTAAATAGGTCGGTAACCCCGTCTGCGCTATCTGTATACGCTGGCGGGGCATCAGTGAGAGATGGTAGGTGAGGATGAAAGCAGCTCAGTTGACCCATCGTGACGAATTCAACAAAGATTTAATCACAGTGGCTTCCAGAGAGAAACGCGTGGAAAATTCACCTGATAAGATCACAATGGGACTGCTAGACCCCATTACTAACAATCCATTTCCCCTCAGTATGTTGGTAAAAAAGGAGTGAAGGTTTTATGGGGTCAATATTGACCCCATAAATATACTAGGCATAGTTTATATAGGGGGGGGGGGAATTATCTGTCTTTTCCACGGTCAATGGATCGATTAAAAAAAAAAGCTAAACACTGGGTACAATAGTCATTTAATAAGGCACCATTCTCCAGGATTATCTAATCTTTGTATTTTCATCAAATTAATTCATAAACTACTAACCATAAACTACATATATTTTCTTAAAAAAATATCTGCAGAAACGAATTCCCGCCAAATACAATTAAGATGGCGGCAAACATTACACGACAGTGTGAATACATCGTATATGTTTTCTTAAGTTTGTGTTGTTTGAAAACATCTGAAAAAGAAATGAATAGATATACTTTATTGTATTTATCTTTAAACATATACTCTGGGTAAAAAAATAAAGTATTTTTTTTATCCATCTGTCCGTGTCCTCGAGTTACGCTTGGTTTAAAATGTATAACGTCATCTAGTGTAATGTTATTATAACTGTAGGACTTTATTATCGCTAGATGGCGTTTTATACAAAAAATATTTTAAAATTTTTATTTTGTGTACGGATCACAGTCTTGTACGGAACAAACTTTAATTACTAAGAAAATTAGGGTAAAAAAGTATTTAAATAAAATAAACATCGAAGCACGAAATAATCTAATATATAAAATTCTCGTGTCACGGTGTTTGTTACCAAACTCCTCCGAAACGGCTTTACCGATTTTCATAAAATTTTGTGTGCATATTCGGTTGGTCTGAGAAACGGCCAACATCTATTTTTTATACCCCTCAATGATAAGGATGACCCACCCCTAAAAATTTTTTTTATATTTTTTTGACAAAATTTTTAATTGTGTTTAAATATGATTTAGCATTGAAAAATACATACAACTTTAAATTTTTATCGTTTTACGATCAACCCCTGTATTGTAATCGCGACTTTTATATTTCGCAATAAGTGGTAAAACAACTAGTAAAATTATAAAAAATGGCAAGACCGAAGTTATTAAAATATAATAATGTAATATAGATTCATTTGTTATTAGATTTGAATTATTTTGTTTAATTCCGCTACCATTAGTACTTATGTGTGACTGCTAACACTAGAAGATTGACCACTACCATTTCTGCTAAACACGTACAACGTAAGTTTTGCGACACGTCGACGAAAAAGCAGTCAAAGATTGAAGTCTTTTTAAAAAGGAGTATGCTCTATTCTTGAAGGTTATGTTGTCGTATCGGCTCGGAAATACTGCTGCTGGAAGTTGATTCCAAAGTGTGGTTGTGCGTGAAATTAAATGCCTTGTAAAATTTTAAATGCCGTGAATTTACAGGGTACAGAGGAATAACACCTGAGTCCTCAGGAATGGCAACGCATGGGGGCTATCACGGGCGAAACAGTACGTGTGTGTACTGTTCTGTCCATGGTACTGCTCATGTCTATAAGCGACGGTTACCACTTTCTATCAGGTGGGCCGTCAGCTTGTTTGCCATTCTAAGTCGTATAGAAAAACGCACGGTAAGTAATATGGAAGAATGTAAAACTTCTGATACTAATAGTGGTGGTCAATCTTCTAGTGTTGGCAGTCACACACATACTAATGGTGGCGGAATTAAATTAAATAATTCTAATTAAATAACCAGTGATATGACCTTCCGCAAAACAGCACCTTATTTAGTAAAACATTTGATTTCTTATTTTCTATTCTTAGATCAATAAAAATAGTTTTAAAAATCATACGAACAAAAAGTACAATGTCAAGAAGATAGAAAAACAATTACAATAAGTATGTACCTTATTGCATAAGAATAAAAGACAAGAATATAAGAAAGAAGACTCCCAAAGAGGGTTGACGTCAGGCAGGCGGCCGGTCGTAAAACTATAAGCCAAATCTTTTTGTAATGTGGATAAAACCATATTACGCCGACCACAAACAATAATTGGCTTATCCCAATTATTATTTGGTGTTGGTAGGAAGATGATGATGTACCTTATTGCATAAGTCACAGCGATATGTATTCATGTGACTTATATTTATATGTGTCTCTAAAAGCTTCTTCGTCGAAAATTTCTTCGTGCAATCCGGACAGGTAAAACTGTAATAAATTTATTGTTTATGAACACTACATAGTATAAAACAATGTCGCTGTCGCTGTCTGTCCGTCCCTATGTATGCTTAAATCTTTAATCTACGCAAAGAATTTTGAAGCAGTTTTTTTTTAAATGATAGCGATGCAAGAGGAAGGTTTATACTGTGTGTATATATATAATAGTATACAAGTGTATGTAATGAGTAGGGATATATATTTTACATTATTACATGTATCATATCTCTATCTTAAGAAATAATAGAATTTTCATCGTGCCTCCGATCAAACTGTTTATAATTACTCCTACCGCCATTGTATACTAGATCATTTACTAGTATTTAATCTGACTTATGTACAATAAAGATTTTTACAATACAATTTACAATACTCCTCTCCATCCAAAGGTTGCCTGCAAGAGATCGCTCTTAGCGATAAGGCCGCCCATTGTTTTCTCACTGTGATTATTTCTCGTAATTGTTTGTATTTATAATAAGTTTACTATTGTAATCTTATGGAGGAAACAATAAAGACTATCTATCTATCTATATGTGGCCTGTACTCCACAATTGGTATGATAGACACCTTTTTAAAGTTAAGCTCGCCTTTGTACGACAACTTTTGTGTGTACAACAAAAAATAAATAAATAGGCACTTATAATTATTATTAAAAAAAACTCGCCTAGTTACGGAAACACTACAAGAAGAAAAAGATGTAAAAATAGTACATTACTGCAGCGGCCATCAACTGAGGCATTGATGGACGAACGTGCAAATGTGGGCCGAGGTGTAGCCGAGGCACACATATGTAAGTCTATCAATGCCTAGTTGTGGCCAAGGTTTGTCTAGTACTTTTCTCAAACAATGCGCGGAAATCAAAAACATAATTTTACTTTTTAAGTTCAATGACGAATAGCGAACAATAATAATTTTTCACGCGCCATAATGTTCCTTTATTTTTTTTTTAAATAAACAGCTTTCTATTTGCAAGCCAGTTCGAAATTTAAATAAAACCTTTTATTAGTTACCTCCTTGGTAACCATGTTTCGAAGTAAAAGGTCATTCCATTTTTAAATTACAGGGCAGATATGATTTTATCTGGCCACAAAACACGACAGATATGGATTTTCATACAACTTTTGCCGGCCGCTGCCCGCATGTATCTGACCAGTACGGCAATTTTGATTTATCTCTAAGAACATTGTCAAAATGATGCTCACATTTCCAAGCATGTTTGAGAATAAAATATTATCATACATACACTATGCTCTCTTTAACGACATGTCTCGTGGACTCCATGAAATGCCGTCTCAACCCCTTTTTGGTTTTATATCGCGTGTCGCATTCGACGCAGTAGAATTGTTTATCCTCTGTATGTGTGAATAAGTGAGATTTTAAAGCGGAATTCGTTGAGAACTTTCTAGAACATTGCCCGCACGAGAATGGCTTAGAACCAGTGTGAGACCTAAAAAGTTATAAAAATATAAATAATTTGCTTTTATTTTTTTATTATTATTTAATGTATATTACTCTTATATATATATATCTTATATATATATCTTATATAATATTATATATATTACTCTTTTCAACCGATTTCAAAATAGGAGGAGGTACCAGAGGGAGACTCTGTACAAAAGTCGTTTCCTCGGGTACCTCTGTCCTATTTGTGTTTCAACCGTAATGCAGTTGTGTTTGCATGGCTGTGTTTCGGGTTGAATGGTGGGATATGGGCAGTGAATTTACAGGGCACAGAGGATTAACACCTGAGTCCTCAGGAATGGCAACGTATGTGGGGTATCTTGGGCGAAACAGTATACTCTGTTATGTCGATGGTACTGCTCATGCCTATAGGCGACGGTTACCACTTTCCATCAGGTGGGCCGTCAGCTTATTTGGCATTCTAAGTTATATAAAAACAAAATACTTAATTTGGTCGTAAGTTTTAAATTTGTTACCTTATAGCTTTGTCGGTTATAGACCGATTTGGAAAAAATCTTTATATATTTAAAAGGGTATAATATTCAGATTAGTCGTATAGAAATTTTATCAAAATCGGTTCAATAGTTTACTTATGAAAACAAAATAACTGGTTTTGTTTTGATACAAGTCTTTTTACTGGAGTATAATCTTAAATTATAAAATAAGCATGATATAGTAGTAGATCTAATCCTTTTATCTTTTATATTTACAACGCCATCTACTACGACAATATTGTAATAGTAATTCTTTTACTGTCACTAGATGGCGTTATATTATTAAATTTTACTAAACAACACTTACAAAATATTTATTGAATTGATTGATTATATATATATATATATATATATATATATATATATATATATATATATATATATATATATATATATATATATATATATATATGTACAGACCACCTTCGAGGATTTATTTACTCTGTAATACCTGTGGTATTGTTCACGAGTTTAGGCGATGGTTACCAACTTCCATCAGACGGGTCGTAAGCTTGTTTGTTAGTCATTGAATATAATAAAAAGCACACCTTAGATGTACGGTGAGGCGTTGTTTGCTCGAGAATCTTCGATCGCAATCACTGCAATGATATTTCCTTTCCTTTTTATGCACCCCATTTACATGTATGTTCAGGGAATGTTTGTCGCTGTATATAAAGAATTTTACAATATGGTAATTTTTTCTTTTAATAGAATTATGTTTTAATGGTAGAAACTGGAATGGCAACACTGTCTGTGGAAGCGATTGTTGATAACGCGGATTATCAGTCCTATTGCTAGCAATTACCCTGTCAGGTCGATCTTTTTTTTATACAACTTAAAATGGCAAACAAGCTGACGGCCCACCTGATGTAAAGTGGTAACCGTCGCCTATAGACATGAGCAGTACCATGGACATAACAGAGTATACTGTTTCGCCCATGATACCTGTCATGCGTTGCCATTCCTGAGGACTCAGGTGTTATTCCTATGTACCCAGTAAATTCACGCCATATCCCACTCTTCAAACCGAAACACAGTCATGCAAACACGGTGGGCTAACTGGCCTGCTTTTTCATTCTCATCTATCATTCCTCACTGGGGCCCCGCCAGTGTATACCGTTAAAATACATATTAAAAAAAAAATTATACGGCCAGATCCAGGATCAGCTTAATTTTATTTTAATTTGTATAAAAAAAAAAGGAATTGTTTGTTAGGACGCCGTAACTTACCCAAATATCTTTTTACAGGTATCACAAGCAACATACTCGACAATACCCCCACACTTGTATCTATGTGCGACGCAGTGCGACCATCGTTTGTATGTGTTGCTACATATTCGACACGTAAACTTACGTCTGTGTGCTAAACTGTGCTGAGACAATACATCTTGAGACTTGAACCTCAAGTTGCATACAATACATTTATTGGGGCCGGCAGTCTGAAATATATATATATTTCTTTTATACTCCTATTAGACTCTCTTTTAATAACTATAATTTAAAATATATAAAGTCACACATGGCATATTTCCATCATATAGTCATCAGAGGGAAATTTTGTACAAAAGTCATTTGCTTGTGTACCTCTGTCCCATTCATGTTTCTACCGTGAAGCAGTTGTGTTTACATGGCTATGTTTCGGTGTGAAAAGTGGGATATGACAGTGAATTTACAGGGTACACAGGAATAACACTTGAGTCCTCAGGAATGGCAATGCATGGGGGGTCATCAATCATGGGCAAAACGGTATACTCTGTTATGTTCATGATACTGCTTATGTCTATAGGCGACGGTTACCACTTTACATCAGGTGGGAAGTCAGCTTGTTTGCCATTCTAAGTTGGATAAAAGAAATTTAAAGGAAATGCCCTATTTTTATAAGGAAAAGATATCTGCACTGTCTTATTATCCTGTCAGATTGGAAACCAATATGGTTAATTCATGGTGAATTCATCAAGATGGGCCAACTCACCTGTCTTCATCCGCATCTCATATCCCACTGGTACCCCTCCATCATATTTTTTTTTTATACAACTTAAAATAGCAAACAAGCTGACGGCCCACCTGATGGAAAGTGGTTACAGTCGCCTATAGACATGAGCAGTACCATGGACATAACAGAATATACCGTTTCGCCCATGATACCCCCCATGCATTGCCATTCCTGAGAACTCAGGTGTTATTCCTCTGTACCCAGTAAATTCACGCCACTTCATTTCTATATAAAATAAATACTTTATTTTTACATAGGATAATACATACCTCTTTATGCCTTAACTCATGTTCTTTAAAAACATCCATAGTCAAGAACCCAATCCCACAAGATTGACATTTATATTTCATTTTGCTATATTTTTCTGACTTTCTCTTCTTTTCTATATCTGCTAATTGCTGTTCTAAATTTAAATATTCAACATCGAATTTCATTTCCTCATAATCATACTGTTGTTTATTATTTAATTTTGTTGTTTTATAATTACCATCATTTTGTCTTATTTAATTTATTTTGTCATCTTTATTTAAATTGGATTCTTCTTCTTCATGATAGTCTATGGTCTCTTCACTATAATCAACAATGGAATCTTGTTCTTTATTCAAATTATTTAATGTAATACAACATACTTCTTTTGAATTGTGTTCAGCAGAGTCTGTTATTATTGCATCCTTGTCTATGGTATTTGTTTCATTTGGAGGTATATTTACAGATATGTTACGAGAATATGTCAATTCATAGATGCCTTTAATAGCATGTGTGGAGAAGTCTGTAGGTGTCTAAAAATAGATACATACATACATATCTGTCACGCCTGTCTCCCATTAGGATAGGCGGAAACAATGGAACGCCAAATGCTTCGATTCAAACAAACCTCTTTCGCTTCTTCCACATTCATCAATCTTTTCATACACGCTCGCCAGTTACGGGTACTTTTAATTTGGCCCTTCATCAGCACGTCGCCTATTTGGTCAACATACGTCCGTCTAAGGCGGCCCCTACCGACATCTCCATTCATTCTTGCTCGATAAATCTCTTTCGTAATTCTTCTTTCATCCATCCTCTCCAAACGACTTCTTGGTCTCTATCTAAAAATAGATAGAGACCAAAAATCAAAGTTAAGAACCTCATTAATGGAAACCATTGCTCCTCAGAAGTTTTTTAATGAGTAAAAATGAAATAGTAATCCCGCCTGCACTATACACTGGCGGGGCACCAGTGAGGGATCACAGGTGAAGATGAAAGCTAGTCAGCTGGTTTATTGTCATAAATTCAATAAAAAATTACCCACAACAGGTTTCACCTGTTTTTTGTTATTAGATATCATATTAGATATCCCCTGGAGTGGATGGGGGGCAAAAGTTATTATTAATGGTCATCAAGTGCTAGAGACAGTCCAACTGCGAGTATCGAATGGTTATGTTAGCTCGCGCCGTCATCCGGTTACATTTAATGTCCCGCCAGTAAGAACTAACCTACTACAGCACGCTCCCTTAACTCGGAGGGAAGGGATTGTTGGCAATGGAGTTTGACAACCCCATTGCCAGCAATATGCCCTATTAGGTCGACCTCCACGTGGTTCCCCCTGGAAACCATTGTGAACAATTCTTGTTGAATCCGTCACGATGGGCTAATTGACCTGCTTCATACCTCACCTATCATCCTTCACTGGTGCCCCGCCGGTGTATACGGATAGCGCGGGTGGGGTTACCATTTCATTATCACCCATTAAAAAAAACTGACCTGCTTTCCTCCTTACCTACCATACCTCACTGGTGTGCTCTGTTTATGCTGGCTAGGTCACCATTACATTATCATCCATTAGAGACCTCTCAACTTACCAAATTATGGGGGGAAAGGGATTGTTAGTAATGGAGACAAAAAATTTCATTGCTAGCAATATACTCAATCAGGTTGACCTCCTTGTAGTTCCCCCTGGAAACTATCATGGTTCATTCCTGATGAATACATCATGATGGGCTAACTGACCTGTTTTCATCCTCATCGATCACCCTTCACTGGTGCTCTGCCAGCGTATTCCATTAGAGCAGGCGGGGTTACCATTCCATTTTCAACCATCAAAAAAACTTACCAAATTATGGCTGGTCAATAACTTATGTGATTTTCTTGCTACTGATATTAGCATTGTTGATTTCTTAATAGCTTCTCTGCACCATAAGCATAGAGGCACTCGTTCTGGTATATTCTAGAATATTAGCATAATTTATCATTAAAATAACTCATTCATGTGTTTGTGTGTTTTTATGCAACTTAGAATGGCAAACAAGCTGATGGCTCACCTGATTGAAAATGGTAACCGTCACCTATAGACATAAGCAGTACCATGGACATAACAGAGTATACTGTTTTACTCATGATACCCCCCATGAGTTCCATTCCTGAGGACTCAGCTGTTATTCCTCTGTACCCTGTAAATTTACTGCCCATATCCCACTCTTCAACCCGAAACACAGCCATGCAAACACAACTGCTTCAGAGTAGAAACATGAACGGGACAGAAGTGCCCAAGCGAACGACTTTTGTACAAAGTCTTCCTCTGGTCAGAGATAATATGATACAATACTCTGGTAAATTAACTTAGATACTTATTTGAAACATCACATAACTGAAAGTTCAGCAATAATTTATGTAAAAGTGTGAGTTTTTCGTGACCGGGGTTGGTTGCTAGCCCATCCCAATCTCACATGTATAGATAATTTTTTTTAACAAAGCCTCGTTATTAATGTATCTATCTATAGGTACAAGAATTTTTAAAATCGGTCGAGTTTTTTTTTTATTTATTTATTAATACCAACATAAATCGAATCTTTACTCTTTGTAATATTTCTTTAGATATCTTATTATTAAATTTAAAAAATACTTACCACAAAACCGATTTCATTCATAAACTTTCTATATAAAATGTAATCAATATTTATTTCATCGCTTTTTAAACATATTCTACACAGATTATAATTATTATCACCCATGATTGTTAAATAGACATTTATTTTTGTATTTTTAAATAAAAACTATAGTTGTTTGACTCAAAAACAGTGAGAATATTTCATGTAATTAATTATATTTGTATTTTGTTTACATCAGCTGATGCTAACAAATCAGATCAGCTGTTCGATTTGACAGATTTTCATAGCCGGATGCAGCTGGATCCTTTGTGTTCATAGACTAAGAATACAAATTATTTAATTTAGTTGAACAAATTAATGTCTCTTTTTCTAATATATTAATATATCATTTTGAAGAATCATAATTTAAAATCAGACAACATTAACTTATATAAAGTTATGTATAGATCGTAATTACATTTAGGCAACGCGAACGAAACATGCTTAATGTAATCTTTTACTAGGTGACGGACTGTATACTTTTTTGTAAACATCGTAGTATAAAAAAAGTCCTAGATACCTCATATCTCTGTTTTGGCAGCTATTATTCTACTGTCAATTTAATTATCTGTATTTTACATCACTTATACTGTAATCTGTGCATTCTTTTTATTATTGTAATTGATTGTATTTATTTTTACGATTTTCTGATAGTTTTTTTTTGTTTTTTCATTAATTCATGAGTGTAATAGTTAAAAATGGATAGTATCACCGCTATTTGTCGGACGTGTCTCAGTAAAGACCGTACGCTGTTCCCGCTTCTTCAACTCCGTACTACGATATTGGATATTAATTTAAATCAGGTTTGTATTCCTGTTATTATAATTAAATTAATTTTTTACAATCATACAATGTATTTTAAATAAATAAAATATTTCGTATTTGTCGGTTTAATATTACTTTATATTAAATCCCTATTGTTTATATTATTATTATGCCTCAAATTAATTTATTACAAAAGTTAAACTCGTGTGGTCCCAGCATAGAACAACACTCAAAGGAAAGGAAAGGGTGGCTAACCCTTTCCTTTTCTTTGAGTGTTGTGTGTCGATTAAGGGAACTTAATGATAGCAGAATGGACAGCAACATCCTTCTTAAAACATCTCTATAGCCTAACTGTGGTTGCCAACCCGCCTGCCAAGTGTGGCAACTACTGGCAAAACTCCCCTTATGGGGAAGGTTTATGTCTAACAGATAACGGCTGAAATGTTGAAATGAACATAAATTACTAAAATAATACAGTAAATTATGAATGTTATTATTATTTATTATATTTATTGTGTATTGGTTTATTTATTTATGTTTAGAGCTGTTTACCTATTACTTCTATAGTATAGAATCTATACAAATATTATATGAAGACATTTAATTATTTAAAATAAACTCAAAAACTATTCAACCAATTTTACAAATTTTTTCACTTATAGTAAGCTGTCACAAACACTGTCAGAAAGTAATATAAATTGTATATTAATAAAAAAAAAAAAATAGAAATATCTATGAAAATTACAACAAAATAGCTTAAGGTATAAAATATTTGCCTATTAAAGCTAATATAAAATACAAATCTATCTATCTACATGTGCAAAATTGGGGCGGATTGCTAGTATTTTATATATTTAACTAGTGACTCACCTCGGCTTAGCTTGGGTGCACATTGCATCACGTCACATTAGAAACCTCTAAAATTATCAGTGTTTCTCTACTATATTATGCATGTATTATACATATAAACCCTCCTCTCGAATTAGTTTATTAAAAAAAAAAAACTGCATCAAAATCTGTTGCATAGTTTTACAAATCTAAGCTGTCTGTCCCGGGGGAAAGGGATTGTTAGTAATGGAGACTGAGAATCCTATTGCTAGCAATATACCCAACCAGGTCGACCTCCTCGCTGTTCCCCCTGGAAACTATCATGGTTAATAACTGATGAATTCATCATGATGGGCTAACTGGCCTGTTTTCATTCTCATCTATCACCCTTCATTGGTGCTCCGCCAGTGTATCCCGTTAGCGCAGGCAGGGTTACCATACCATTTTCACCCATAAAAAAAAAGCTGAATATAGGGACAGATGGGAAGCGACTTTGTTTTATACTATGTAGTGATTTCAGCTGACAGATCTGAATGGCGGAGTGTGCTGGGAATGTCGCAGTATGTTAAGAAAGTTCCAAAAATTTAAATCACAAGTGCATAAAGCACAACAGCTTTTAAATAATGCTAGACACGTAAGTTGTTTTTGTTTCTCTGTTCTTATTTTAGAGTTTCCTCTTGTCAGGGCAACTATTGTGTTTTTTATGATACTTAAAATTGCAATTGACATAGCTCAAAGGATAAGCAAGCTGAAGTGGCAATGGGCTGGTCACATAGCTCGAAGAACCGACAACCGATAAGGAAGAAAGTTTCTTGAGTGATGACCACATACGGGTAAACACAGTGTAGGATGACTCCCTCACTAGTTGGAGTGACGACTTGAAGTGCGTTGCAGGGAGTCAGTGGATGCAGGTGGCTCAGGACCGTTCTTTAAGGCAGTCTGTGGGGTAGACTTATGTCCAACAGTAGATGGATGATGGGTGAAATGATGATGATGATGATGAAAATGGCAATCAAGCAGTAGTTTATAGGCCAGTAAGCCTAGCCCTTGGAAAGCAGCAACCATAGCTAATAGACTCAAACCACAGGATATACTGCATTGCCCAAAGCATCTCATGCATTGCTGACTATAATGCTATGCCAACATATCTTGTATATTTAAATGGTATATCCCATCTTTCAAACAGAAACATAACTATGTAAGCATAGCTGCTTCATGGCAAAAACACGAATGGGACAGTGGTACCCATACAAAATATTTTTGTACAGTAAACTACTTTGACCAAAGGGAGACTTTGTACAAAAGTTGTTTGCTTGTGTACCTCTGCCTCATTTATATTTCTACCATGAAGCAGTTGTGTTTACATGGCTGTGTTTCGGTTTGAAGGGTGGGATATGGCAGTGAATCTACAGGGTACAGTCATAACACCTTAGTCCTTAGGAATGGCAATGCATGGGGGGGTGTCATGGGCGAAATAGTATACTCTGTTATGCCCATGGTACTGTTCATGTCTATAGCTTTATTTTTATTCATTATTAACGGACAGCTTGTTTACCACTCTAAATTGCATATAAAAAAAAAAAAAACTTTAAAATAAGTTTTTTATAAATACGTACATATTATATATGGAAACTACTCGAGCACAAATAGATACAAATATTTGTTTTGTGTGAGAAACAAACCCGCAACCATCTGAAAGGCAACGCCACTACACCACCATGGCCCCCCTTATATACATTTCATGTTAAATTAACACTAATTTTTAGATACAAGACTTGAGCTCCTTAAGTAGACTTCAAACAAAATTTTTAAAAAATTATGACTGTCGTCTAAAATATGATCCACTGACAATCTCAGATGAAATGTCCGAAATAACAATTAAAAAAGAAGAGTTCCCTATCGAAGATAATGATGAACCATATAGCATCAAGAGTGATGATGACAATGAAGTTGGAAATGGTATAAGAAATGAAAGAAAAGAGACTAAAACTAGAAACAAAAATGTACATGAAAAACAGAATGATTTTTGTGCTGTGATGTTTAAGGAAAAAAATATTTTAAAAACAAACATTAAAAAGAAAAGAGGCTCAAGAAAGAAAGTCTTATGTGATAATAAAAAAATAAATATAAATAATTCCCAAGCCGATGATAATATAGGTGAATCATTTAAAAACCTTCATCAAAAGACAGGAATTAGTACAATAAAAGATGAGATAAAAGATGTAGATGGAGCTGAACTATATAAAGAAGCAAATAAATTATTACATAGAAGGAGCATAGACAAAATAAACGAAACCACAGACTCAGATGACGATGGTAATGTCATAGAGAAATTCTCCACTATTGTTTTCAGTGAAGAAGAGATGTTAAGAAATAGAGAAGAAAAGAGAATGCAGCCTAATTTTAAGAAGATACAGTACAAATGTGATATGTGCGTGTTAGGATTTTTAAAGAAAGAGAATTATGATCTTCACATGATGAAGAAGCATGATGAGGTATGGCAGAATAAATTAAAATTTATAATATGTTTTTTTTTTATTTGACTTTTTAATTTGAATTTTTAATTTGCTTGGGTATCTCTGTCTCATTCATGTTTTTACCGTAAAACAGTTGTGTTTGCACGGCTGTGTTTCAGTTTGAGGGGTGGGATATGGCAGTGAATTTACAGGGTACATACATACATACATATCTGTCACGCCTGTCTCCCATTGGCTAGGCAGAAACAATGGAACGCCAAATGTTTCGATTTAAACAAACCCTTTCGCTTCTTCCACATTCATCAATTTACAGGGTATAGAGGAATAACATTTGAGTCCTCAGGAATGGCAACGCATGGGGGGTATCATGGGTGAAACAGTATACTCTGTTATGTCCACGGTACTGCTCATGTCTATAGGCGACGGTTACTACTTTCCATCAGGTGGGCCGTCAGCTTGTTTGCCATTCTAAGTTGCATATAAAAAATTGCAAAGAAGTTAATGGCTCACCTGATGAAAATTGATAACCATCACCTATAGGGAGAAAGGGATTGTTAGTAATAAGATTTAACAGCCCCATTGCTAACAATACCCTATCAGGTCGACCTCCACACGATTCCCCCTGGAATCCATCATGGTTAATTCTTATGGATTTCATCATGAGGGCCATTTATTATGAACTCCATAAGAACGTGACCCTAGCATAGAGTGAGCCACTGGTTTCTTTCCCGTGGGTGTCGTAAGAGGCGACTCTATAAGTCGTTCCCAATGATATGATATATAATGCTCTCCCCCCCCCCCTTAATTATGCTGCGTTTTGCTTTTTGTTTGTATATGTGCATTCTTTTATCTCTTTTCTCTGTGCATGTCTATCTCTGTCTATGTCTGATGTAATGCAAATAAATTATTTATCATATTTAAGAAAAAGAGGCAAAAGAGGAAGAGGAAGACCGAGGATTAACTACATGGGACAGATAAAGAAAACACTATGTGTCATGTCGTATAGGGAGGTCAAGGATATGGCCTGGGATAGAGTTGGCTGGAGGAAGATGCATGAATTAGTTGCACCAACAAGAGGAAACTCTTAAATGAAAAAAAAAAAAGAACAAGGCATTACATAGAAGGAATGATAAAAACTGTAAATCATATGGTTGTCTCCTTTCTTCTTATGCAATAATATAATTAGTAAAAAGAGTACGAAAGATACACCATCAGTTGCTACTTTTCTCAATTCATAGCAGGCTAGTGTATATCTAAAATTATCTCTGGCACTATTTTTTTTTTTAATCTATCATCTCATCTTGTCCACAGAGTGTAGGAGAGCACGAATGCGACATATGCAGAGTGCGGTACACCAACAAATTAGAAGTGGCACGTCACAGGAGTAAACACTACATGTGTTACAGATGTAAACTGTGCAAGTACGAGACTGGACAGGTCTGGGCGGTGGTCAACCACTGCCGGTCGAGACACCGTCGCGACACCAAGGACAGGATACACTGTACACAGTGTGACGTCATCGCTACGTAAGTTTAAGCCCTTGACTGTCCATAGCTGAACATAAGGTTTCCTCTTTGGGGGTTTTGCCAGTAGTTGCCATGTTTGGTAGCCGGATTGGCAACTGCAGTCAGGCGGAGGGAAAGGGATTGTTAGTAATGGACATTGAGAATCCTATTGCTAGCAATATACCCAACCATGTCAACCTTCTCGCGGTTCCCCCTGGAAACTATCATGGTTGATTCCTGATGAATTCGTCATGATGGACTAACTGGCCTGTTTTCATTCTCATCTATCACCCTTCACTGGTGCTCCGCCAGCGTATCCCGTTAGCGCAGGCGGGGTTACCATACCATATTCACCCATTAAAAAAAAAAACTGCAGTCAGGCTTTTGAGATGTTTTAAGAGGGACGCTGCTGCCCATCTCTCGCCGTCCTTTAGTCGAATTTTACGACACCCGCGTGAAAGGAAGTGATGGCCTATTGTATGCGGGGACCACACGGCCATAAGTATGTTTGTTTCTAACTGTAGGTGTAATTCCTTTAACGTGGGTGTCGTGAGAGGCGACTAATAATAATGATAATTTTTGAGACTTAGCATGTAAGTTGTTTTTTTAAAAGCTGTAGAGTTTTGTATAAAATAAAGAAAAAAAATTACATTCTTATTTTATATTAAAAAATGGTAACCATACAGCCCATCTGATGGTAAACAGCAATTGGTAAATATAAACTTATCATTTGTACATGCATTAAACATTTCCGAACGCAATATCCTTCTACCCTCCTCACCTATCCATATTCCCTATCAAATCTGGGATCACATTGGGGGGTAGATGGACAAAGTCAGTCTATAATCCAACTGCGCGTCGAGCTGGTCAAGTTCCGCTAAGATCACGAATAAATCTCCGCCAGTTGCGAATTATTCATTCAGCCGCGATCTCCGCGCAACATACAGTGACACCTTATGTCAATAAACAAAAGTGTTGAATAATTTGAGGAGAGAACGAGAACGCGTACAAAAGATCTACACGCGGGGACTAAGTGGACCAGGTTTGTCCTTTACCCTTCTTTTTATCCAACTTCAATCGTAGTCTATGGAAGCCTGTAACGCTGTGGTTGCCTATAAATGTAAGAACAGCCGTAATCCACTAGTGTATTGTGTTGATATATTTGGCTGTATTTTATATTCGTGATCCTAAATCAGTGATTCTCAACCTTTTTTTTTTTTGTTGCGGCACATATTTAACGATTTCAAAATTTGGCGGCACACAAAGAGAGAAAAAGATAAGAATTATTTACTTACTACAACACACTGCATAAATAGTTTATGACAAAAATTTTAAATATTTGCAAAATTTGGCGGCACACAAAAGTGCCGCGGCACAGTGGTTGAGAATCACTGTCCTAAATAAATAAATACTTTTGTCACGTATGCGTTATAAAAAAAAAAATACAGCAATGTTACATTCCCAAAGAGGTTTGACGTCAGGCAGGCGGCCGGTCGTAAAACTATAAGCCAAATGTTTTTATAATATAGATAAAAAACATATTTTTTTATTATTATTTTTTTTTTTTGATGGGTGAAAATGGTATGGTAACCCCGCCTGCGCTAACGGGATACGCTGGCGGAGCACCAGTGAAGGGTGATAGATGAGAATGAAAACAGGCCAGTTAGCCCATCGTGATGAATTCATCAGGAATTAACCATGATAGTTTCCAGGGGGAACCGCGAGGAGGTCGACCTGGTTGGGTATATTGCTAGCAATAGGATTATCAGTCTCCATTACTAATAATCCCTTTCCCCCCGATGAAAAACATTACGTCGATCCCAAATAATAATTGGGATAAGGGCAGGAAGATGAGGATGTTTTTTTACATTACAGAACACCAGAGGACTTGGCTGAGCATATTAAGACCAAACACACGCTCCGGTGCGACGAGTGCGGCGGCAGGTTCAAAGGGAAACATACGTTACGAACGCACAAGGTGTATGTATTGTACTTATTTAATACTTAACCCTATATTTTTTTTTATGCATCTTAGAATGGCAAACAAGCTGACGGCCCACCTGATGGAAAGTGGTAACCGTCACCTATAGACATGAGCAGTACCGTGGACATAACAGAGTATACTGTTTCGCCCATGATACCCCCCATGCGTTGCCGTTCCTGAGGAGCGCGGGCGGGGTTAGCATACCATTATTAACCATTAAAGGAAATACTATTCTATTCTATCCTATCCTATTCCCGTTCTATCCTATCCTATTCTATTCGTATTTTATGAATGAATGAAAGGATGAAAACTCTATTGTTCCCTATTGTTATTTTCTTTATTGTTTGTTTTTTTATGACACATTTTTTTTTTGGGGCTATAGAAATTAGTTCTAATTTATTTTATTTTATTTATTTATAAATTATTACGAAAGAGATTTATCGAGCAAGAATGAATGGAGATGTCGGTAGGGGCCGCCCTAGACGGACGTATGTCGACCAAATAGGCGACGTGCTAAAGAACGGGCCAAATTAAAACTACCCGTAACCGGCGAGCGTGTATGAAAAGATTGATCAATGTGAAGGAAGCGAAAGAGGTTTGTTTGAATCGAAGCATTTGGCGTTCCATTGTTTCTGCCTACCCTAATGGGAGACAGGCGCGACAGATATGTATGAATGTATGTATGTAATTACTCACCACACTTACAGTCTCCCAAAACGTGTACTGAGCCATAGGTTTATTTTACAAATTTAAAAATTTTGAACGACATTTTAAATATATCTATTGATAATTATTTTCAGTCGCATCCACGCGGTGAAACGGGAGTTTATCTGTGATATATGTACAAAGACGTTCACAAAGAAGTCGAGGCTCGAGTCGCACATGGTGACCCATGACAGCGCGTTGGCCAAACAGCTGGCTTACTGCGCAACGTGTAAAATACAATATAAGAACATATACATATATAGAGGACACCTGAGGAACAGCACCAACCATTCGGAGAGGAAGTTAGTTTTTTTTTTTTATTTTTATTTTTTTTTATTTACACTATTTTATTTAAAGTGGTATTTCCGAACTGATACGACATAGTAACCTTTAGGTAAATGGTATATGTTCATTTCTAAAAGGCCGACAGTACTCGGGCAATTTTTCTAGTTTAAAGGGTGGTTATGGGCGGTGGTAGTCACTTACCAACTTTGTTAATGGGTGGAAATGGAATGGTAACCCCGCCCACGATATCGGTATGCACCGACGAGGCATTAATGAGAGATGATAGGTGAGAATGAATGCAGGTCAGTTGGCTCACCCTGATGAATTTGACAAGAATTAAACATGATGATTTCCGGGGTGAACCGCGTTGAGATAGACCTGAAAAGCTATATTGCTAGTAATGGGGCTATAAGACCCCATTACTAACAATCCCTTTCCCCCCAGTCACTTATTATCGGATGAGCCTCATTTGACGTGATTATTTTTTAATGGATGATAATGGAATGGTAACCCCGCCTGCGCTAACGGTATACGCTGGCGGAGCACCAGCGAGGGATGATAGGTGAGGATGAAAACAGACCAGTTAGTCCACCGTGACGAATTTAACAATAAATCAATCACGATGGTTTCCAGGTGGAACCATGAGGAGGTTGACCTGATAATAGCATATTGCTAGCAATGGGGCTACTTAATCCCATTACTAACAATTCCTTCTCCCCCGAATAAAGTATATTGCCAGCAAGGGGGCTATTAAACCTCAAAAATACCCTATCAGGTTGACCTCCACGCGGTTCCCCTTGGAAACTACCGTGACTTACAATCCCTTTCCCCCCATAACGGTATAGTTGTATGAGTACAGTATGGCGGTGTTATTTATTTATTTATTTATTTATTTATTCATTAGTACAAATATGTGTACATGGCGGACTTAATGCTAAAAGCATTCTCTCTCAGTCAACCATAAGGAAGTGGCAGAATACACGAATGCGGTTCTAGTAATTACTGCTGAGACCAATGTCTTAAAGACAATCTTATTCCACAGTTACGCTTGTGCTGAGTGCAACAAGAAGTTTTCATCTCGCGCTTATTGGATACAGCATTATAATTTTTACCATCTACAGAAGTCGCAGTTCGTGTGCCAGCAGTGTGATAAGGTACCTGATGCATTTATTATACAGCTTAGAATAGCAAACAAGCTGACGGCCCACCTGAGGTAAAGTGGTAACCGTCGCCTATAGACATGAGCAGTACCGTGGACATAACAGAGTATACTGTTTCGCCCGTGATACCCCCCATGCGTTGCTATTCCTGAGGACTCAGGTGTTATTCCTTTGTACCCTGTAAATTCACGCCATATCATAACCCTTCAATCCGAAACACAGCCATGCAAACACAACTGCTTCACGGTTGAAACACGAATGGGACAGAGGTACCCAAGCAATCGACTTTTGTACAAAGTCTCCCTCTGGTAACTTTTTCCAACTTCCGGCATTCCCAACTGGCCGATAGAGTCATAAAAATGGCCATTCAATAATGCTTGTAAATAAGTTTACAGTATAAATAATAATAAATAAGTTTACCCCGCTTTATTTTAACCCTTTTTTGCATAATGGTGGAAATTTCAATCATTGAACGCCCAAAAATTATATAAAAGAACAAGTTCACTTTAAATTGATCGTGTCTGGATACCTTTTTAATGTACATTGCAGAAAAAAAACATAGCTGTCAAATTTATTTTTTTAACCATTTTTCCTTTAATTTTGAACATGAATTATATCACCTTGATTTATTTCACCAATAAAAAAAAAACATGCAAAGAAGGGTTAATGGGTGATAATGGAATGGTAACCCCGCCTGCGCTATCGGTGTACACCGGCGGGGCACCAGTGAGAGATGATAGGCGAGGATGAAAATAGGTCAGTTAGCCCATCAATTCAACTAGAATTAACCAGGATGGTTTCCAGGGGGAAACATGGAGGTCGACCTGACAGGGTGTATTGCTAGTAATGGGGCTGTTTGACCCCATTACTAACAATCCCTTTCCTCCCAGGTCTTAATGTACTTGAACAAGGAGTATTCTGTTTAATTCATAGCTGTTTTGAAGTTTTATTTCGAAAAAGTTCTTTAGGTCTTTTATGGGAATGGGCATTAAATGTTACAATAAGATACCGAAGGATATTTTGAATCTGCCTTTTAATAAGTTTAAAACTGTTATTAAAAAACACTTATTGAACAAAGCCTATTACCCACTAAACGATTACTTGAATGACAAGCGTGCATGGTGTCAGTCGATCATGCACGGGCTTTTAACGACCATGTAATTTTAGACATAGTACTCTGGTTTAGTCTGGTCTATACTTTAATACAGATAGATAGATAGATAATTTATTTGCATTACTTACTTACAGCACACAAATTACAACATACATATATAAAAAAAAGCGAGATAACATAAATGATAAAAAAATATACATAAAGCTAAATATAAGTTTCGTTTGTGAGTATGCCATAGCAATACAAAATGGCCACAACTCAGTTTATTGCTTCGCCCTCAAAAGAGCAAAGCACTGATATTCTGTTGCGGCCAAAGGGAATAGGCTAACAATAAAACGATACTACCAGATTATCTTCATTGAGCCAGTTGTGATTATATGTATTTGTTATGTATACATGTATGTGTATGTAGGAGTGTATATATATATATATATATGTATATATATGTGTATGTGTATAAGTTTTTATTTATTAATGTTATATTATTATTCATGTACTTTTATTATTTACATATGTAGGTATATAGGGCTGTTTTTATTGTATTATATATTTAATTTTTTTTACTGGGTATTATTTAGTTTATCTTTAGCTGTACGGTTATTACCCATATACATTCTATAGTTTTCTTTCAGCTTCTCAAAGGTTGACTGTAAGAGATCCCTTTATGGGATAAGTCCGCCATTGTATATTAAATCATTTACCAGCATTTAATCTGAGTTATGTACAATAAAGATTTTTTACAAAACAATACAATTATCCGTACAGTAAATAGATAAATATACAGTAAACAGACAGATATGACAGTCTATCTAGCAGACAAATGGAACGTAGAGAACAATATATAGTAAATATATAAATAAATTACTAATTTCAGCTTTTCATATCCGATTGGAGATTGAAAAACCATAAACAAAAATACCATGGACTAGACAGGCCTAGAGACCATCAGTGTAACGAGTGTGGGAAAAAATTCTTTGTAAGTATAACATTTGTATATATTTAACACTAGATTTTTAACGTTTTTTTCGTTTTTTTTTTTATTTTACAACCCAGGGGGCAAACTAGCATGCGGCTCGCCTGATGGTAAGTGACTACCGGGGCCCATGATCGCCCGTAACACCAACGGCATTGCAGGTGTGCTGCCGGCTTTTCGTTCGTATGGATTTCAGATTTTGTTTATACAACTTAGAAAGGCAAACAAGTTCACGGCCCACCTGATGGAATGTGGTAACCGTCGCCTATACACATGAGCAGTACCTTGGACATAACAGAGTATACTGTTTCGCCCATGATACCCCCCATGCATTGCCATTCCTGAGGACTCAGGTGTTATTTCTCTGTACTCTGTAAATTAACGCCATATCTCACATCGTCTTAGTTACAATTTTATTATAATAGTAATATTTATTATTGTAATACAGTGACAAATATATTTAAAATATGTCCTACCTACTATTTTTTTAGATATACTGGCAATTTTGTTTAGACGCTGGCAACACTGCGCAGCCACCAGCTGACACATTCCGAACAGCGCACGTACATGTGTGAAGACTGCGGGGACACGTTCAAACAGCGTGCCGCCCTTTACACACATACAAGGCTCGTCCACCAGGGGGTGAAGCGGAAGAAGCAATAGCATTGCTGTCATATGGAGTTTTTTAATGGATGATAATGGAATGGATTGTTAGTAATGGAGAGGTTAGTCCTCATTACCATCAGTATACCCTATCAGGTCGATCTCCACGCGGTTCCCCCTGGAAACTATCGTGACAAATTTACCAATGAATTAATCACTGTGGTTTCCAGGGGGAATCGCGTGGAGGTCGACCTGATAGGGTATATTGCTAGCAATGGGGCTACTTAATCCCATTACTAACAATCCCTTTTCCCCCTGTCATATGGGGTAAATACATGAATATGGAATGGTAACTCCGCCGGCGCTGTCAGTATATATTGATGGGGCACCAGTGAGGGTATTAAGGTTTTTTTTTTATATTTATGATAATGGAATGTTAACCTTACCCGCGCTATCGGTATACACTGGCGGGGCACCAGTGAAGGATGATAGGTGAGGACGAAGTAGGTCAGTTGGCCCATCGTGACGAATTCAACAAGAATTGTTCACCATGGTTTCCAGGGGGAACCACGTGGAGGTCGACCTAATAAGATATACTGCTAGCAATGGGGCTGTCAAACTCCATTGCTAACAATCCTTTTCCCCCTGGTACTAAGGTATTAGTCACTTTGGTATGCGTTGATAGTCAGGTTCCCATCAGGTTGGCCGTCAGCTTATTTGCCATTCCAAGTTACATGTAAAACGTGCATATAATGAAATGACTGAATTGGTTCAACAGAAAAAGAAATTGTCTTAATAAAAATATTATTAAAATTAATTGTGTTTTATTTCTGTTTATATTTTTAATATTTTAGCCGTTAACGGCAGTTAACTTGTGGTGTCTGTAAATAAATATTGTAAATATTCATCTCATTGCCACTTGTCAACATCATTACTTTCTTTTCCATCAAGTAGGTTAATTTAATTGTACATAGATATTTCACCTCTTTCTGTCTTTCGCACTGGACGTACAGACATTACAGCGACGTTTACTTCTTACATTCATTTTTGCTGTCATTCTCTCATTATATGAAAATCAATAATATAATCAAGTTGGTTGTTATTTATTTCCTCCAAACAACTACAAACTGCTGAATGATAGATAGATAATTTATTTACATCACTTGCAGCACACAAAAAAGATCAGGTACATACTCAAAAAAAGAATTAATAAAATACATTTACAAAAAAAAAAAACAAAATATACAAAAGAGGTAACATAATTTTTCGTGAGTGTGCGACAGTAACACAAAATGGTGACAACTCAGTTTATTGTCTTGGTCTGAAAAGAGCAAAACACTGATATTCTGTTGTGGTCAAAAGGTGAAACCCAGTCGTGAGGTTACTTATACTATATATATATATATATATATATATATATATACATATATATAAATGAATAAAATTAATTGTGTATGCCCATTACAATAACTATGTAATATTTTAATTTAAATTAATAAATAAGAAATACCATTACAAATGAGGTAGTTAGAGGTCATTCTCGACCTTTTAGTACTTTTCTATTCAATATTACCTATATGTATAACGTACACAAATACCGTAAAATATGTGAGTAAAATTATTAGAAGATAGGATAAGAGAAATAGAAGGATTGGGCGGATTGTTCCTTTTTTTTAGTAGTTTTTTAAATTTATTCATGATTATGGATACAAATTCTACATTTGAAAATTAAAAACGAGACAAATTGATTAGAGTTGCCAGATGCGGATCCACACGTTGTGGCAGATGGTAAAACAGTGAAAAAATACAATTTTGTGGTACGGTAAAAATTCTATAAATCGTATCGATTTGAAGAAAAAAATATTTAACGTTTGAGTAAAAATCTGGATCCGCATCTGGCAACCCTTGTCAATTTGTCTGGTTCTTAATTTTCGAATGTAGAATTTGTATCCATAATCACGAATAAATTTTAAAAAATATGGTATTTGTGATCCACCTTTCGTAACTTTTTTATTAGCTTTAAATGTATGGATTTGGTCAGAAAACATAATGCCAACGTTTAGTTAAAAGATGAAATAACGATAGTGTCAATTATTAAAAATACTGTCAAATGCGGTACAATTGGCTCCCATTTATAATACATTCGTGAAACAGTATTAGCTTTGTAATTCATACTTCTTTTATTTTAACTTTGATATATAATTAATATTGCCTCTATTACGAGGTGGATGATTCTAGAAATTGACTAAATATTCCGGAAAGTATTGAAACTTGTATTCACTATCAATTTTACGAAATTAAGATTTCAATTTCAATCAAGACATTCTCCGTCGGGCTCTTGTCACCGCGGGCGTGCCTGCCATTCTAGAACCTCCTGGTTTGATACGTGACGATGGCAAGAGACCTGACGGGATGTCCTTGGTACCTTGGAGGATGGGACGTCCGCTTGTATGGGATTTCACCTGCGTCGACACGGTGGCACCGTCTCACCTTCAAAGTACATCCAAGAGGGCTGGTGCCGCCGCAACACACCAGGAGTCTATCAAGCGCCCTAAATATTCATCCTTTGGAAATGGATATATATTTGCGGCGTTTGGAGTTGAAACTCTGGGTCCGTGGGGCCCCGAGGCCATGAATCTTTTCAAAGAGATCTCACGCCGGCTGGTGGAAACCTCTGGTGACCAGAAGGCTGGCCTATACTTTGGTCAACGCATTTCCATTGCTATTCAGCGTGGAAATGCAGCAAGTATCCTAGGCACCCTACCGGCTGGCAGTGATCTTAAAGAAATTTTTTATCTTTAAATATATATATTTTTAAATTTTTTAATGTTATATTGAATTAAGTAATAGAGATTTCAAAGAATTTATTTTATAAAATAATAAATATATTTAAGAATATTATCCTTTTGTTTTATTTTTACAAAAATAAGTTCATAGAAACGTAAATTTTGACATAAATATGTTATTTTTCTTTTATCACATAATTCACGTTACAGTGAGAAATTTTTACATATTATATAATATCGATATAAACCTATTCATTTTTAACATCAGACCGGTCAATATAAATAGAAAAGGAAGGTTTTTGTATAGATTGGTAAGGTAATCCTGACCAAGTCGATTTGCGTATCTTATAAAAAATGCGGTCTCTTTTCTCTTGATTATATGGTATACTCTATTCGTGTCGTAATTTGATATTTCGGTGTCGTATACTCATTTTCATATATTATTTATTTTTTTTTATTTTCCTTTCGTAAATTTTATTTTTCATTACTGTGTTGTTCAGTTCTACACTATTTTGTCGAAATACTTGTTCAATTTTGGTAATTGGAATTATTTGGTTTGTCTTTAATCTTTCCTTTCGTCGTTGTTCTGATTTGATTTTGGAATTTTGAAGACTCTTGGATTCATTCTCAAGTTATTATAATAAATACTCAGAACAGTCTCGTCGTTTTTTAAAAGGTTCTTTAAGTTTCTTCGTGCAATGGAAAAATAATGGAAGTTAATATACAAAAGTGGGTAGATGCATTTAGTAAAAAAAAAAATTATCTCTATTGCTTTTGGTTTGTAATTAAAAACGTGAAAAACTCGATAAATATAATAATTTCTGGCTTGTTACACCATCGTTGCATTAGAAGTGTTATTTGAAAAATATTTCACTACATAATCCCTTATTTGGATAAAATGTGTTCTAAACAATTTTGGATTGATTTTCAGTTGAGTTGTGGTTGGATTCTCTTAAAATTGTATTTTTATCATTAACTTTGATAATTTTTATGTCCAAACAACTCCACTTTTTTATATTCTTTAATTAATCAAATAGGCTTTCTCGAGGGTATTTGTATTTTTCATGTGCCACCCTATTTCATATTGTTGTTATTAATATTGTAAAATAATTGGTTGGATTCTCCTAAGAGCAGGTCTTGATCGTTAACTTTGATAATTTTTTTTATGTTTAAATAACTCCACATTTTTTAGAATGAATGAATGAGTATACTTGAATGAGTATAATTGTATTGTAAATGTAATTATTGTAATTTTTTTTAAATTAATATTATTTTATATAGTAATTATTATAATTATAAATTAGATGTATCATAAGAATCTGTAACAGATGTATATGAATAAAGATTGATTGATTGGCTTTATTTGCATTATAGGAAATATACAAGACAATTTACAAACACAACGATACAATTACAATTGTATCGTTGTGTTTGTAAATTGTCTTAAGTACAGTAAGGCGGTCTTATTGCTGAGAGTCTTTATAGTCTTTATTTAATTGAACAGGCTTTTTTGAGGGTATTAGCTTTTGTCACTTGGCATTTTTTCATGAGCTACACCATTTCATAGATGTTAATAATATTGTAAAATAAATTGAATTAAAAAAGTTTACAAACAAAATTAATAAGTCTTTGTGGAGAAGAAATCAAATAATTTTTTTTTTTAATTAAAATTACAGAGTTAAAATTGTCCATCTAAATACCTGTAGACATAAATTATCTTTTTGGACTATCCAGTTATAATGGCACAAACATGCAATGTTTCTTGTATGGACAGTGAGTTCAATTAATTGCTTTATTTCTGTTAACGAGTGTAGTTACAATCAATTCTTTTAATATTTAATTAAACCCCTATAATAAAACTAATAAAATGAATTATTTTATTAAACAAAGAAATAAAAATACTATTTATTTATTATACTAAGTGGTAAAAATAAAACACAAAATTGAACTAAATTAAATTCACTTATTCTAATTTAATGTAACTTTTACAGCCTAAATTAACAATATCAAATCTAGTTTATATTGTTGTATGCAATATCTGTAATTCAGACGGTGTTTTCCTTAAGCGTAATATCTAAAACAAACCGAAATTTATAAAAAACAATACATTTTTTTTTCTATTTAATTTCAATCTACCCTTTGGAGGGTATTAATATATATATTAGTATTTTAAATACATATAATTTTTTTTTTAAATAATCTGCTATGGTACTTTGGCGCATGTTATTACGTGACATAGAAAATGCTTCATTCCTCAATTTACGAAACAACATTTTTTTCTGGAATGCAAATATCTATTTCATCCGCCTATTTCATTTAATGTAGACACGACTCTAATATGTCGGACTTTTGTCATTCGTTTCGTTTCCTCAAATACTTCTTCGTTTTCATTCAAACTTCGTTCTGTCATATAGTACTTGTTTTAATATGTCTTTATCAGTTAAAGTAAAAATACTAAACTAAAATAAATACTTAATAGCAAATTGTTTTTAATCATAATTATATAAATACATAATAATATCATCGCTGGATAAGAATTTGTTTACCTCTTCTGAAAAGTCTGCTACAAAAAATGTTCAAATGAAGAATTATAGTGATTCTAATCTTTGCCAGATGTGTATTCTGGTTCGAATAAAGGGCAACAGAGGTTTCCAAGACTTAATAATTACATGGTAAATGAATCTCTCTATATGACATTAATTCTGGTTGGAAGACTCCCTAGATATTCTTTCTGCGCTGGGGCTGTTGAAGGAGCTAATCTGTCAAATAGACTTTCATCTGTTTCTGCTGAGATTGCTGGAGAACCTCTTGGTACACACGCCTTTCAGGCCATTGTGCCAAACCAGATTTGCAGGTGTATTTGGTGAACGGCTATCCCAAAATTGTTTCCAGCTTTCCTGCTTCTTCTTGTGAAACATACTCTTTGCTTTGGCTGATATCCGTCGAAAGTTAAGCAGGTACTCAGTCTTCATGTTGGTAATATAAGTGTGTTCTGCTTATAATCCGTAATGGGTTATTATTTGTGTGCACTCCGTATCCCACCAGGGGGAGAGGATTTTCTGTAACTAGGTCTTTTGAAAGGGATATTTTCATTAGCACTATTCCCAATTATTTCCATCAATTTTGAACAGGCATCTAAAATGTTATTTTGATTTATTATTGGTAAAGTAGAACATTTGTCTTCTACTGATTTATAATATGACTCGCAATTAGCTGCAGATATACTGTATTTTAATAACGGAGCGAGATTTCTTTGTGGGAGTAGTCTAGAGTTTAAGTTGAGCAGTTTAAATTTAGCTATCTTTTATCATAATTTTAAATGTACCTAACAAAACAGAGTCTTATTACAGTTTGTAACAAATTGTTTTATTAATCAGAAATTTTTAATCTCGGACTAGTCCCGTCCGGACGCTCCTCGGATGCCCTCTAAACTAGGACAAATCCGGGGTAACCCGGGTGGGAACGGCAATCCTCCAAGTCCAGACACGTTTTCGCACTTCGGACTTTGTAATACGTTAAGAAAATATTTTTCAATCAGTCATTTGCGTTAATTATATTTTCTCGCAGCTCTCCCACAGAACTTATTGGGGTTTCGTACAATAAATCCTTCATATGACCCTAGATATATTATATATATGATATGAAAATGCTAGCGAAGTTAAGTCAGGACTTTTGCAGGCCATAGAATTAGTTCACCACTTCCTATTTACCTGTTAGGGTAACTCTTATCAAGCCATTGCCTAACACTGATGCGGTAATGAGCGGGGGCATCTATTGTATTGAAAACATATTGTTGTTTCTGGTTTCTTTGCATGCAACTTTTTGGTGCATCACCAAAAAGTTGCAACAAGTCGTTTCTTAAAAATCCCATAATTCTGTTCATTTAGCTCTAGGGACAAGAAATGTAGGTCAATTTGTCATGAATAACACCCATCCACATGTTGAGTGTAAACCTACGTTTGTTAATGCAACAGGCAACCTCTTAGTCATTGGCGTATTTAAGATTATTTTTCAGGAGGCCTAGTTTCTTACAAAGACGTATTTACAGTCGGAGATATCTACGCATAACTAAAGTACTGCTCGAGTCCTGGAGTTAAATACGGCCTATTTCATTTACACTAATGTCGTTGGTTACGGATTCCTAAAAGGTGCATCGTCGATGCCTATTTTTCATAAAATTATGTTTACATGAATAGAAACCAATAGAATAATAAATTGTCCTTATACTCACTTCAAATAAATCGACGATTTGTTAATATTTTGCACTATTTTCCAAAACTGTAGTGCAGGTACCATCTCCCGCGTAAAATTACACTGTTGTTGCGCAGCGTATGCACTAGAGGGCAGGAGTATTCTTACATCTCCGTATTAAAGCATCGACAGGGACCGACATTATATAATTGTGTGTTTGTTGCGGTACAAAAAGCGCTACACTTGTATGACAGTCTTCCTTATAACCCACATATTCGTATGTACCATCGGATTGGCATCCTGCAGCACTTTCTCCCGTCTATAAAAACAAAACGTTAATTGTACTGTCTTCCCTCCTTGAGACGGAAGAAAGATCAACTTTGTTTGGTTTAAAATCGAAACTAATTTGATACGATTCTTTATTAATCATTCATCTCGACGCCTCTTGTAGATCTTGGTGCTCTCTTTGGATCACGGTGTATCCCGGGCGCGTTTTAACCTCACTCCCTCCAAATGGTGGCACTGACAATGGCGTTTCAATGGTAACGACTGTCGTTCAATGGTATTGGTATGAATATAACACCTGATATTCTTGATGGCTGGTCTAATGTGACATGGTGTCCCAGTGGCGAGTCCATTGGAATCACCACTGTGCCGGCCCCGAAATGACACCTGTAATGTTTACACAAATATCCTCTCATTTCTGGATATAAATGGAATATACGCAAAATAAAATGTGCATGCAGACCCAGTGTTGTTCTGACAAGAACAAGTATCTTGTTCACTTGTATTATCCTGTCCAAAGTTAACCGAGTTTTGTATCAATTCCACGTGAAGCTTTTTGGTCAACCTGCAAATGCAGCCGAAAGCCGATTGGCATTACAGTAGGCGACCCTTTAGTCGTATTTAAGATTATTTCCCATGATTTTAAAAGCATTCGCATTCAATCATAACCAGCTTTTAAAAAAAATATGAAATATGTAATCATCAATAATGGTATGACATCAATAATTAATGGGAGTCCTTCATTACGCGTAGTTTTTATATGAACAACAAAATTTTTATTCATTGTCTTATTGCACTTGAATAATACATGTAGCGATTAGTTTAACAACTTGTTAGCAAAGGGCTTATCTCTGAAAGAGATCTCTTCTAGCCAACCCAGTGTTGTTAGAGAGAAAATAATTTGGGTAATTCAGTGCAGGGAATGTACCGGTAAAAATAATGTTAATACAAGAAGGTAACACAAATTGTGAATAAATAAATAAAAATAAATAAATAAATAAAAATAAATAAATAAAAATAAATAAATAAATAAATATATAAAAATAAATAAATATAAATAAAAATAAATAAACAAATATACAAATAAATAAATAAAAATAAAATAAATAAATACGTAAATAAGTAAATAGATAAATATATATACATATGTATAAGTGCATAGAAATATCATGTACTATTGGTTAAAAGGTGTTATTTTAGTCTTCTCTTGAAGGAAGTAATGGACGTATGTCAGCAGGTAGCTGGCTGTTCCACAGTTGCGCAGCACGAAATGTGAAGGAATTTCCAAAAAAAAATGGGTCTTACAAGAAGGGAGTTCTAAAACTTTGGACTGCATCAGGCAAGCACGCTTGGGACGTGTGGGAGGGGGCAGGATTCGAAACCGGGAGCGGAGATAAGATGAAGAGTTGGGATTATTAAGAATATTATAGAGAGTGGAGAGGATGTGCATATTATGTCGAAGTCGGATTGGGAGCTATTTTAACTGAGCGCGAAAAGCGGAGACATGATCATACTTACGTAGACCGAAGACAAATCTGATAGCTAAATTTTGTAGGCGCTCAAGTTTATTCAGTAGCTCCTCTGTCACATCCAAAAAACTAACATCAGCATATTCCAGGATAGGAAGCAGGATAGATTGAGCCAGCATGATTTTGGTTCGGATAGGAAGGAAATATTGAAGTCGTTTGAGCGAGTGAAACGAGAAATGCAATCGCATACTAATGTCGTTCACATGACATGACCAAGAGAAGTTGCTGTCCATAATTAAACCTAGGTTTTTTACTTTGTCGGTGTATACTAAGGGGACACCGTCATCTTCATTCATTCATTCATCATTGTAGCTTCGATTCAATGTTTTTCGTTGAAAATATTAAGGCTAACATACGTGCAAGTCAGCATTCTTATGAGAATGTGTCCAACACGACTATGTAACAAAATCCTTTTATTTGTTCCAAGTTTTATCAACCGCTTTCATTAATTTTCTTTTCCAAGCATAGAAGATGACTTCGTAGGACTATTTACTTATATTATTATAATTTTTCTCTCTTCTTTTTTCTTGTTTTTTATGGTTTTCCGTAAGTTTTTGACGCAGAGTAAGTAGTCACTTCCTTATTTTTAACAGAATAAATAGTTGCCTTAAGTAATTTTTCAATTTAAATCAATTTGTCATGAATAACACCCATCCACACGTTTAGTGTTAGTTAGTTACTGAAGTTTTGCTCGAATCCTGGGGTGGTGGGCACCAGGCAGTTTTAAGGTAGACATGACCCCCCCATTAAATACGGCCTATGGTATGTTAAAATAAAGGAATTTCAGTGGAATTTTAGCTTTCGTCACGTATTTCATTGCATACTAAGGTCGCTGGTTTCGGGTTCCCAAAAGGTGCATCGTCGATTCCTATTTTTCATAAAGTTATGTTTACATAATAGAAACCAATAAAATAATAAATTGTCCCTATACTCGCTCCAAATAAATCGATGATTTGTTAATATTTTGCACTATTTTCCAAAACTGTAGATGGTACCTGATCTCTCGCGTAAAATTACACTGTTGTTGCGCAGCGTATGCACTAGAGGGCAGTAGTAGCCATACATTCCCGTAATTACGCATTTACAGGGACCGATATATATATATATATATATATATATATATATATATATATATATATATATATATATATATATATATATATATATATATATATATATAATTGTAATGTGTGTTTGGCGAACATATGTGCAAGTCAGCATTTTTATGTGAATGTGCCCAACACGACTATGTAACAGAATCCTTTAATTTGTTCCAAGTTTTATCAACCGCTTTCATTAATTTTCTTTTCCAAGCATAGAAGATGAGTTCGTAGGACCATTTACGTGAATTATTATAATTTTTCCGTCTTCTTTTTTCTTGTTTATTTTATATGGTATACCGTAAGTTTTTGATGCAAATTAAGTAGTCACTTGCTTATTTTTAACAGAACGAATAGTTGCCTTAACTAATTCTTCGGATCAATTACCGCGCGTCGCCTTTCTTACGCCTCTGTGGTTTACAGACGAATGTTCTTGCTTTCCCAGACCTAAAAGGACGTATATATATATATATATAGGCACTAGTGGCACGGTACTGGTCTGAGGTGTAATACGAATCCTGGCTTACGATCATTTCTGTTATTATGTCCAAAGTTGCCTGACTTTTGTATCATTTCCACGTGGTAGCTTTTGGTTATAAAGGCAAGTCTGATCCACCTCTAAAATATTCCACTTATGCATCATCGACAGCCTGCGGCACTTTTTCCTGCTTAAAAATATGCATCGTCTTTAATCATTGAAATATTTCTTATGTTCAAGAATGTTTCTCTTAAGTGAAGATTTGATTTACAGATTTCCCATTTACCTTTATAATGTCTGTTAGACCACATAAGTTATATGCACACGTATCCCATAAGTTTCAGAGAAACACTGGATATATTTTGTTGCGACATCAAATTAACGGAAGGTTAATATTATTAATTCATTATTCTTCTAGCAACTAACAAGATACAAAAGTAAATACATACATACATATCTGTCACGCCTGTCTCCCATTAGGGTAGGCAGAAAGAATGGAACGCCAAATGCTTCGATTCAAACAAACCTCTTTCGCTTCTTCCACATTCATCAATCTTTTCATACACGTTCAAAAGTAAATATTATATTTAAAACAACTTATCCTATCTTAAACTATTATTTACAATCTTAAGTACTAATGTCATTAACATAAAACTTGGGTTTTACTGTTTTATACACACGGTTTTCGTTAATTCAATTGATATTTTATTAAGAGGCCTGTTTTCTTACAAAGACGTATTTACAGTCGGAGGTATCTACGCATAACTGAAGTTCTGCTCGAATCCTGGGGTGGTGAGCACCAGGCAGTTTTAAGGTAGACATGACCCCCCATTAAATACGGCCTATGGTTTGTTAACATAAAGGAATTTTGGTAGAATTTTTGCTTTCATCACGTATTTCATTTCACACTAAGGTCGTTGGTTATGAATTCCTAAAAGGTGCATCGTCGATTCCTATTTTTCATAAAGTTATGTTTACATTAATAGAAACCAATAAAATAATAAATTGTCCCTATACTCGCTCCAAATAAATCGATGATTTGTTAATATTTTGCACAAATTTTCAAAACTGTAGTCCTTAGCAAAATTATACTGTTGTTGCGCAGCTCTTTATACACTTTGTCGTATCTTTTTTTTTTTTTTTTTTTTTTTTTTTTTTTTTTTTTTTTTTTTTTTTTTTTTTTTTTTACAACACAGGGGGCAAACGAGCATGCGGCTCACCTGATGGTAAGTGACTACCGCCGCCCATGATCACCCACAACACCTACGGCATTGCAGGTGTGCTGCCGGCCTTTTAAAAAGGAATATGCTCTTTTCTTGAAGGTTATGTTGTCGTATCGGTTCGGAAATACTGCTGCTGGAAGTTGATTCCAAAGAGTGGTTGTGCGTGGGAGAAAGTGCCTTGAAAAACGCACGGTGGAGGACCGCCACTTGTCCAGATGGTTGGGATGAAATTTTAGTTTATGGCGGGTTGTACGATGGTGAAAATCTGCAGCAGGTATCAATCCGAACAATTCTTCAGAGCACTCCCCATGATAAATTCGGTAGAAAATGCACAGAGATGCAACATCTCTACGCAGTTCCAGTGGGTCAAGTCGGACAGTAAGACGCCGATCGTCAACAATTCGAGCTGCCCGACTTTGAATGCGGTCTAACGGAAGGAGTTGGTACTGTGGCGCTCCTGCCCACAGGTGAGAACAGTATTCCATGTGTGGCCTCACTTAAGCTTTATATAGTTTCAGGCGGTTTTCTGGCGTGAAATACCGTCTCACCCTATTGAGCACCCCCAACTTTTTGGAAGCTATCTTAGCTTTTTCCTCCAGATGACCGCAAAACTGGACGTCGCTAGATATATCGACGCCAAGAATCCCCAGACTCGACTTATTATCGAGGGAAGTGCCCCGAAAGTAAGGAGATACGACAAACGGTGTCTTTTTTGCGGTGAACGCGCAGACTTGTGTCTTCTTAGGGTTAAAGTGAACAAGATTGCGTTCACCCCAGATCGAAACTTTATCGAGCGAAGTTTCGATTTCAGACACAAGTCTGTTCCGGAGCTCATCGGTATATGTCCGCGAGATCTTTGCATGACCGGTGTATAATGCATCTCCTGTACTGTCGTCTGCATAACAATGAATATCACTGATCTGTAACATATCATTGATATGCAGAAGAAACAGTGTCGGAGATAGTACACAGCCTTGCGGGACACCAGCATTCACAGGTTTTAAGTCAGAGCATGCTCCGTCGACTACGACCTTAATGCTACGTTCCTTAAGAAAACTGGCGACCCAACTGCACAATCTCGCAGGCAACCCAAACGAAGGTAGTTTTGAGATTAGTGCCCTATGCCACACCCGATCAAAGGCTTTCGCAATATCCAGACTAACAGCTAAGGCCTCTCCCTTATTCTCGATTGCCACCGCCCATCGGTGTGTTAAATAAACTAAAAGATCACCAGCCGAGCGCCCCCGTCGAAAGCCGTACTGGCGATCTGAGATCAGCTGGCGATCCTCTAGGTACCGGAGCAGTTGATGGTTAACAACTGATTCCATGACTTTCGAGAATAAGGAGGTGATAGCTATGGGCCTATAGTTAGCTGGATCTGAGCGGTCTCCTTTTTTAGGGATCGGATGCACCAAAGCAGTCTTCCAAAACTTTGGGACTATACCTGATGAGTAACAGAGCCGAAAAAGACGCGTAAGAACCGGAGCCAACTCTGGTGCGCACGTCCTAAGCACAATTGGAGGAATGCCATCGGGCCCACTCGACTTATGGATTTCAAGGGAGAGAAGTGCTCTACGCACTGATCTTTGCGTGAATTTAACATCCGGCATAGAGCTCTTACAACGCGGGATGGTCGGCGGTGGTTTCTCCCCGTCATCCAACGTCGAGTTTGATGCAAAGAGAGATCCAAGGAGATCGGCCTTCTCTTTGGCGTTCAGAGCCAACGAGTTATCCTCCCTGCGCAATGGTGGAAAAGATGACTGACAGAAATTCCCTTGTGCAGCTTTGGCAAGAGACCAGAAAGCTCGAGACCCCGAAGGTAAACTAGCCAATCTCTTGCCAATTCTACCAATATGCTCTGACTTCGCTGTGGCCAAAACTCTTTTGAAGGACCTAGAGGCAAAGTTATACTTCTTTTTAAGGGCACTGATGTTAGGATCTCGCGACGCCACACCTTTGGCCCAGGCTAGGAAGCACTCCTGTTTCAGGCGAGATGCTATTCTACAAGAGGCTCCATACCAGGGCTGGGATTTCCCACCGACAGGTACCACAGAGTTAGGAATAAATAATTCCATTCCCTGAAGCACCACATCGGCGATGGAATTGGCGATGGCGTCGGGGTCCCTCAGTGCGAAGCAAACCTGCCTCCATGGGTAAGATGCGAAAAAAATCCGCATCTCATCCCAGTCTGCCGACCTGTAGTGCCAAACACGACGTCTACCCGTGGAACGTGGTGGAATCGGACTCATGAGAGGCACCTCGCTCCGCACCAGACAGTGATCCGACGATCCAAGCGGAGCTTCGAC